AAGATTCTCGTGGACGGCCGAAGCCAATAGTGCTTTCGAAAAATTAAAACAAGCATTAACGCAAGCCCCTGTGTTGAAATTTCCTGAAAAGGAAGAGAATTTAGAAATTTCAGCGGATGTTTCGGATTATGCGGTAGGAGCGGTACTTTAGCAAAATCAGCAGCCCGTGGCATTTTTTAGCCGAACTTTAAATCAAACACAAAGAAATTATTCCGCGACTGAGAGAGAGGCACTTGCAGTTCTGTTAGCAGTGCAAAAGTTCCGAGTCTATTTTGGAAAGGCGCCAATAAAAGTGTACTCTGATCATGAGGCGGTAACTAGATTGTACTCAGGAAAAAATTTATCCCCAAGGTTAATAAGATGGGCACTCAAGCTGCAAGAATATAATCTGGAAATCAAGCATACGCCCGGAAAGGAAAATATCGTAGCAGATGCCTTATCAAGAATTAAAATAGATGAACAAGGGAATACCGTAAAGGTGGCAATGCTCACAGCATGTACAATAAATTCCCGAGAAACTGTAATAACTGAACTGGGTAAGGATCCTGAGTTTGGAAGCATTTATGAGTATTTGAAGGATCCTGAAAATGTTAGCCACCAAGATATTGTGGCGATAAGAAATAGGGCGGCCCATTACGAACTAATAGATGGTCTATTATTTTATACAAAAACTACGAATTCCAACAACGAATTTCCACCTGTTATCCCAGCTAGTCTTAGATTAAATATCCTGCAGGAGCTCCATGACAGCCCTTTAGCTTCTCATGCAGGTATTCGAAAACTATCCAACGCGTACGCGAGGCAGTCTACTTTCCTGAACTGCAAAAGTTAACAAGGGCGTATGTCCAGTCCTGCCCAACATGTCAAGCAGTTAATTATATTAATTTCCGCCCGGCCGGGTTTCTAAATAGTATTAAATCCGAATTTCCAAATGAAATAATTGGCATCGATTTATTGGGCCCTTTCCCAAAAAGTCAGTTAAATAAATGTCGCTATCTCCTTGTTATGGTTGATCATTTTAGTAAATGGACCGAAATTGTTCCCTTAAAACGAGCATCCGCGAAATTAGTTACTGTTTCTGTTTTAAATAAATATATTTTAAAATACGGGGCGCCCCTAAATGTTATATCGGATAATGGTCCTCAATTTGTAATTAATATATTTGCAGACGTGCCAAAAACTGGGCATACGTCATTTAAAAATGGTCCCGTATCGGCCGCAATCAAATATAGGGAAACGGGTCAATAGAAATATAGTGAAAATTATCCGTAGTTATGTTAAAAATTTTTTGCTTTCGCCCTTAGGACCGTAAAACATGATACAACGGGCAAAACTCCTGCTGAGTTATTTCTAGGCAGAAAGATTATAACACCGTTAGATAAATTATTTTATGTGCAACAAAGAGCCCCAGAATTTAAAATGAGTGATATAAAAAACTAATAAAAGAAGCAAAAAAGAATACGGAAGTAAGTAGCACAAAGAAAACAGAAGCTCTATTATGATTTGAAACGACGGGGGAGTAACTTATAAAGTAGGGGATGAAGTTTTAAAAATTAAGCATTCACTTTCTTCAGCACCAGAAGATAAAAACTGCCAAATTTTTTCCACGATTTGAAGGACCATATGTTATAGAAATAATAACTCACGCTTGTAGTAGTGTTAAAAGCCAGAAAATGGTGAAACCTGTTCCGCAAACATTGATCAAATCAAGCCCTACTTCGATCGTAATAAAATGCAAATATTTTCAGATCTTTTGCAGGATCCGGCACGGCAGACACCGCAGGCACAAGCTCCAGAGGTTGGAAACCGACAAGTACAAGGGCAAGCCAATGAGAGACAGAAGCAAGTGAAAAGAAAATTGCCCCGCGGAAAAATTGAAGGTAACAAGAAAAAGAAGCCGTTCCACCGTCCAGAAAAGAGAGTTCACGAACACCCCCAGAATGTAGAAGGGAGAAGGACGACTTATGTGAAGAGAACCAGGAGAAATGACGGCAACTATAACCCGGCTTTAAAAACGGAAGATCTACTCATCCGACAGAACTCTCCGCAGCAAAAGTCGCCGAACTACGGAAGGGCCATCAGCGGCGGAGGAAAAGTTACAAGGAAAAATTGAACGGCCAGCAACGAGGTCCAAGCAGGAACACAACAGAAGTTTCCCGGTTCCGCCAAGACCAGCTGCCATCAAACGGCCAAGACCACAAGCAGAGGAGAAAAAGAAGGTATTCAAGGGTGGCCGAACTGGTGAAAAAAGGAAGCTTCCAGAGGAAAGCACTGAAGGGTGAGCCCGTACAAGAAGGAGGTGTGTGTGTGTATGTGTGTGTGTGTAATTATGGCAAAGCCTCGAGGGCTATCTGCCTAAGGGGAGGGATGCCTTCGTGGAGGACTTTCTAAGGGAAACTGGCTCGTATACACGTTACACATGGGGAAAACCACGAAAACGCCCATGCAGCCAGCCCGTTCGCGGGATTCGAACCTCGGACCGAACTACCAGTGTTCAGCGACTTTACCGCTCGGCCGCTGGTGGGCACAAGAAGGAGGATAAATCAAACTACTATCTGCGTACTTTAAAGACTGGCCCAGAAAAGGATGTCCGAATATTACAAGATAAGTAAAATTTTATGTTACTTTGCAAACTTAAGTTAATCTTCATTCTTACTGCAAGTGGCAGATTTCAAGACGTTTTACCAGGGGGGGGGGGGGGGGGGGGGGGGGGAGGGGGGGGTGCGGGGGGGGGGGGGGGGGGGGAGGTTTGGGGGGGGGGGGGGAAGGGGGGGGGGGGGGGGGGGGGGGGGGGGGGGGAGAGGGGGGGAGGGGGGGGGGGGGGGGGGGGGGGGGGGGGGGGGGGGGGAGGGGGGGGGGGGGGGGGGGGGGGGGGGGGGGGGGGGGGGGGGGGGGGGTGGGGGGGGGGGGGGGGGGGGCGGGGGGGGGGGGGGGGGGGGGGGGGGGGGGGGGGGGGGGGGGGGGGGGGGGGGGGGGGGGGGGGGGGGGGGGGGGGGGGGGGGGGGGGGGGGGGGGGGGGGGGGGGGGGGGGGGGGGGGGGGGGGGGGGGGGGGGGGGGGGGTCGGGGGGGGGCGGGGGGGGGGGGGGGGGGGGGGGGGGGGGGGGGGGGGGGGGGGGGGGGGGGGGGGGGGGGGGGGGGGGGGGGGGGGGGGGGGGGGGGGGGGGGGGGGGGGGGGAGAGTGTACCGATTTTGGGTATTATGTTTTTCAATTACTCGCGCGTAAACTAAAGTTGATGTATAATAGCGTTGTGTAAAGACTTAAATATTGAAAAAAGTTATTGTATAAATTTTATTTAAAACATTCTAGCAAGAAAGAAGTTTAGTCTGAAAGACTTTTTGAAATGTATTATTTCAATGTAGAAAGAATTGGCACTTGCTTTGAAAAGAATAGAAGTTGACAAGTACTATTAATGTATTTTCAAATGTGTAAAAAAAACAGTATGTTGATATTTTCTTATATACAATGTGAACTGTTATTTTAAATGCTAAGAAATACCGTGATATGGTAAAAGTGAAAGTAATGTTAAAAATTTGTTATTCGTGTGACTGTAAAGACTAAATCATGGCGAATATGTGTTAAAGGTTGAATGATGTAGTTAGGCTCTCCGACGCTACACTTTAGAGTTAGCCACTTTTAGAATAGTACCTCAGGGTTAGAGTTGAAATTGTTAAGAGGTCTCGTTATGTTGAATTTTAAACACGTTAGTGTTTTGATTGTAGGAGGAAGTGTGGCACACGTAGACAGAAACATTCGTGTTTGGTGTCTTTTACACACATGTCAGAGAGCACGGGGAGAGATAATTAAAAGTCATGAAGAAATAAGAATTTTAAGAGCAGTTAATTGTATATGTTACGTGCCATTTTCATTGTGTAACATTTCATTAAACTAGTTTTCCTTCCAGAGATCTGGAAGGAACCAGAATTGAATAAAAGCTCCTGTGTTAGATGCAGTACAGATGAAAAAAATTTTTGTATCCTGGGAGCTGCTATTGTAACAAATTTCTTCTTTTAAATTTCTAGTTCTAGCGAAGTATGTTTGTAAAAGATTGGCCTCGCGTTAGATTCTAGAGCTAAAAGTTTTCAACAACGTCGTTTTAGACCTCAGTTTCAAACTAATTAACTCTGGCGGGAAGTATGTAAGGATCTTAAGTTTTACTAACGTTTATTTTATTTTAAATCTTTACTGTCACTTCTTATTTTCTACTTCCGGCCAGAATTATAAGCGTGAAGGTATTTATGCAAAGTTTGTCTGGCGAACGCCAAGTATTTAAGTTGTGGCCTTTTGCCAAGCAAGAGAGAGGAAGCAGTGAGTCAAAGCAGGCCGCTTACCTTAGAAGTTACTTAGTTGCTGTTTGCCTTCCAGGCCAGAGGGTTTAATCCTCTTGATAAATTTAAACGTATTGTAGTGTTCTCAGTTATCTGTACTACATACGCCTTCCTGTTAATATAAGGCCAATCTTCCACGTTTGTTAGTTTAAAGTTAAATTAGAGTTTAGTTTTATTTTTATACTTTACGTAGACCCAAGTGGCGGGTCGGTGTATTCCGAAGTACGGAAGTTATTGTATAAAGAGAAAAATAAAGGGTTTTGTATACCCTTCGTCTGTATCCTGTCTAGTTACCACAATTAGTGAAGATAGCTTTAGTATGCTCTCTGTTCCGAGTCAGGTCCTTGTATGTTCCCGAAGAAGGTTAGAAGGAACATAGACCCTGATAATATGAGTGGAAATAAGGTAAATATCTGTAGATGATGTAAATAAGTATGTTTAAAAAGTGCATTGTTAAATTTGTTTTTCTTTGAGCAGAGATTTTAACTTTTCTTTCAGATTTAAATATATTTTTTAATCATTATAAGCAATTTTGTCAAAAAAATTCTAGATATTTTGAAATTTGAGATTAAAAGTATTCAAGAAAATGTTTTGTTTAAGATTCGAATTCAGGAAAATTTATTTTTCATCTTACTGGTAAGGAAATGTTTTAATTTAATAAGATATGATATACCTGCGCAAGTGATTCCTGTGCCTTCGAATCCTTCTTTGCAGATGCAGATTTGTTCTTTGAACCTTTCATTTTTTACCTTAACATAGTCACCGAAGGTGCAGTTTTTCCCTTCGCCACAATTGCATTCTGTAAATGAATAACATTATTGCTTACGTACTTTGCTCACATTTGACAGTCCACATCTAAAACCGTCTAACATTATTGCAGCTTACACAACAGAATTTTATTTAGTTTAAAATTTCTGCGTAAAAGCATTATGTTTTACTAACATAGTTCGGTTCTGAATTAATGCTGATTTAACATGTGCTCTATAATTGCGTTAATTTAGGCAGAGATTGGCTACTTGAATGTACCACTAACAGACATATTTAAGGGTAATGTAAAAGATTCATAAATCCTTGTTTAATAGAAAAAGAGACAAAATACATAACTTCAAACTTCTTTTATATTTAAAATGCGAAATAAGATAAAATTTCAAATATTGAATCCTTTTCATGCAGGCTAAAGTAACATGAGAGTTTTTCTCTGCTATTGTGTTTCTTATCATTTTTTTAAGTAATATGAGAGATAGTCTGTATTTATTCTTCGGTTTATTATTTATTTATTACAATACTATGACAGATAGTCTCTGTTATTATCCTTCTTATTATTTTATAAGATTCTGGTTGAACTGATAATCCTTGGAAACTAGGATACTTGAGAAGTGTGTAGGGACTATTCGCTGACTTCTTAAAACTGCAAAAACGAGTCCAAAGAAGGGTTAAATTGCAGTTTTATATTACTCCAGAATGTTTAAAGTCTGCTTTTCTCGGACTTACAGGAAGCCTCCACTTGGGTTTAAAATAGAAAAATAGCAATTTAACTTATGCTAACTAACTGAAAATTTAGCAGAAACTTTACAGAAATAACTAACAGAGTTGGCCCTTTTTTAAACATCACTGGTGAATACTAACAGGCACACAGCAATATGGCTGAGCGGACTAAGAACTCGCTAAAAGAGCTACAGAGCCAGGAGGCTGAATACGCTCTGTTAAGCTCTTCTACTTGAGTTACTCACTTTGAAAAGAAGTTTTCAACTTCGTGGAGTCTTTACTTCATCCATGGCTTGTCCCTAGGGCTATCAGATGTAAAGTCTTAAAGTCCGGACGATACGGAAGGGCCTGTACTAAGAAGTAAATAAACTCGAAAGAGTACTAATAGAATAAAATGTGAAATATAAAATAAATAATTCTTGTAACTAAGTTGTGGTAATTCACATAAATATTCCGACTCTACGGAAGTGGCTGAGATGACTTCCAATTAAGCACTGGTTCTACCTCATTCACCTAAACCGCGATCCTGAATACTCATTCTGGCAGAGAATTGTAGGTGAGAAACAAGAGAGTAAAGGAAAGCTGTTAAAAATTAAAAATAATTATTAGGAAATTAAAATAACCCCTACAATTTTTATTAAAGTAATATGAGAGGGAGTTTCATTTATTGTTTTTCCTTTACGTAACATTTTATCGTAAAATGAATAAGAATAATCAATTATACATCTGGCGATGTATCGGAAGAGGGAATGCATCGTGACTCTGATTGATCCTTGCGACTGAGAAACTAAGATATTGTTTCGGATTTCTCTAAAAAAAGATGAAATTTTCTACTTCCTTTTCCTAGTAATTTTTTTATTTGTTTTGTTTTTCAAGGGGGTAGAGCCTAATTTCACTATGATTTCAATGTTAAGTTCTGATCACTTAGAACATTTTTACAGGTAATCCTTTTCGCGTGCAAAGATCTCGGATCATTGTTACTTTCCTTCTTGGTTAGCTTTTAATGTATTTTTCATTCTGCCTTTCCTACCCTTGCCTAGAAAGGAAGAAGAAGCAATTTATTATTTCAAGGCTTTTCATATTTTATTAACAAATCGCTAGTATTCTAGTTCTCGTGCAAATCTGCATGCCACATGACGAACTATGAAAATGTAATAACACAGCCCCATTAACATAAATAACGCAGCTCCATTAACATAAATAACGCAGCTCCATTAACATAAATAACAGCTCCATCGACTTGAGAGGTTTCCCTTGCTTTCTTATTTAACAATATTCATACAAAAGCAGAAGAAGGCTGCGGAGAATAACAGTTTGACGTGATTTTTGAATGCGATACTGTAACCTGCCAGCAAAGAAAACTTCGTTGACGCCAAAAATGTACTACTTAATCGCAGTGACACTCCCATTATATCATTCACGATGTACGGCAAAAATACTAACGCCTATAAATCGGTCAAAGAATCTTTATATTGTGACTGTAATATTTATCCATCAAATTAAAAATCTTTGTACACTCAGTAAAATAAATAAAATATGTTACTTCTTTCTGTTCGTTAGAAAGCCCAGTAGCGAGTAGCTGAAATATGTTTCACGTTAACAATTTCTAAATAATGGTATCTTAAAACTAGCAGCTTCGGTGCCAGCCTTCGTCTGGCTTTTAAATGTACCGGAAAAATGGCTGAGGGGAACTCCAAACGTTAAATTTAAAAACTGCTTAGAATTTTACTCTGCAGAAAAACTTCATAAAAAAGTTATTACGTATAACAAAATTACAATGAAATAAGCAATATCCCTTAATACAAATATTAATTATCCTAATAAATGAATTAACCCACTTCCCTTTGCAAAATCTTAAGATCTCAAATGGTATAAAGGAGATAAGAAATTTGTTTCCTAAAAAAATCACTCAAACTTTTCAATATCTTAAAACAGTGAAATGAGCAATAAATAACATAAAAGAATACAAAAACAAAAAATTCTGAAAAGCAAAGTATATTTAAGATTCTTATGGTTATATTTTCAAGAGAAAAATAGTGCTACTTTGGTACACGGTTACACAGATTTTTGGCAATTTACATTGGCGCAATTGTTGGCGCCGTTTTTACAGTCATCGCCATCTTGAAAAAAATGCTGTTTTTTACGTATATTACGCATTAGTAAAGTATTTTGAAACGTTCATAATATCGTTAAAAATAATGGATTAATTTTTTTGAAAACGTTGTTTTTTAGATGGCTGGCAAAATGTAAATAAATACATTTACTAAGAGTATTAAAATGCTTAAAGTAAGGTTAAATTATTACTTTCATATACTAGAATAAAAACATCGCTATAGAAACATTGCGCCAACATTTAATTGGATTAATATATGACTTAATTGGATTAAAATATGAATATCGAATTAAAAACATCATACCAACGTTATAGTAAACGAAAATTATGTACTTACATTTTTTTAAAGTATTTAACTGTCGTATATTGATAAGTACCACAAAAAAGGGGTTCTTCTAACGATCTTCATCTGTGATCCACATCTCTCGCACTTCATTGAAGAAGCAATTAGCAAGGTTTTCTCCAAAAATTTAAAAATTTTCCTCTGACGCTATTAACAATTACAAATAAATCTTGATTAGAAAAGCCAGCCAGGTGGCCAAAGAAGGTCTCAAAGGTCAATTTTTTTATTCCGATACCACTTTCTTAGAAGTACCAATAACACATTCTCTTCGAAACGGGACATATCCATCCATTGAAATCTGAGGAATTCGAAGAGATATAATAACATTTTAAAATGGCGCGGTATTCACAAATATTCAGTAACCAATCAGGGAGTGATTACATCACGCATAGAATTAAAATTATTTAAATAATGATTCATAATAAATCTTTTTAAAATAAATGCAAAATTAAATTGTTCTTAATATTAACAGCCATAATATAATGTTTAAACATTAGATTAAATTTATAGATATTAATAAAACCAATTACTTTTTAAGTAAGGTGACGTCATTGATTACATCTCCACAACAAAAAATTATATAAAATATTATAAACAAGAAAAATTTTTATTTCAAATAAAATGCAAAATTAAATTGATTTTTATATTTAGAAGCAATAAATAATACTTAAAATCACTGAATTTATGCATAATAAAACGCATTTTTTTTAAAATAAAATGACAACAAATATCGTTACCATAATAATTTATCTAGCAATGGGTTTCCATAAGTCGTATTACTCGCCAAACGAAAAATCGACAAATCCGTGCAACCGTCTACCAAAAAAATGACAATAAAAAATAATAATAAAATGAAAAATAATAAAATAAAATTGCCAATCTTTAAAACCATGACATAAAAATACGATGAAAAATTGTTGCCAAAAACCATATTGTAAAGAATGAAACTATTCAAATATATGCGATTTCATCAAAAATTTATCAACACAAGGAAAATTGTTGCCAAAATCGCATTTTTAAAGATGTGAGATGTGAAAAGTGTACTCGGAAGCTTCATTTAAAAATTTTTTTTTAAATCAAAATATATAATTTTCCAAAATTTTTTGTAAAGCACTCGCAAGGATGAAGTAATGTTCCAAAACCAAAGAAAATTAATTACCTATACTTAATGTACTGTACATGTTACATTGTTATGTAATGTAACTGTACTGTAAATGTAACTATACTGTTACATTTCTTTAAATAAACTTTTTTAGAAAAAATTTCGCTGAAAAGGTGTTAAGCTCCCTTTGTTAAATAAATTCGTATTTAATCGATTTTTGAAACACGAAATTTATTTTAAGTTCGTAAAATAGCTAAATGCCTACGGTTCATGACGATGTGAAAATGGAGTGCGTAGAGTAAAATCTCTCTTTCCTATAGCCCATTATGTCTCAAAATGACGCGATTTCGTCACAAAACATAAACAAAAAATTCTAATTCGAATTTTCAAAAAAATCGCTTCGAGGTGCACTGGCTTTTGTCTAGATGCACCTATGTACCAAATTTCGTAGCCGTGGGTCTATTAGCTTACGCGCAGCGCGAATGAAAGACACTCACACACACACACACACACAGACTCTTTGTTTTATTATATGTAGAGATTCAGCAAAATGCATAAATTATTTTCAATAATGTTGTCTGCGTAGAGGTTCGTAATACATTGGATGCGAATTTCGATTGAATGTCGGTATGTTTTCGTCGAAACGTTGTTCACGATACCGTCGTTTCTGAAAGAGGAGATTTCTCTTCCTAGTTCGTAACTATTGATAAATATTATTGTTGTCCTTTCTTGGCATCTAACTGTTTTCTGTCTTGGTGCTTGCTTTAAAAATTACCGTTAGATCTAAACTTCAGCATTTCAGTTTTATTTTAATTGTTGTTGTTCATTTAGTAGGAATAATCCTGACAAATCAGAATTTCAAAAATTCGGTGAACCATAACTTCAGGTTCAGAAAATATTAGACAGCGTAAATGCACACAAAAATACTTTAAGACTTTTTTATTTTTTTCACAGGCATTAACTTTTAATGAGTATTACGGATAAAACGCAGTATTCTGAATTATTTAAGGAAATAAAACTCGCTGTATAAAGTGCGTTTTATAACTATGTTTTTAAAGTAAATCTTGTAGTTCGAAGAGTATAATAAAATATTTTAAAAAAATAACTCACTAACTCAAATTTAGTAATTTTTTTAAGAAAAACTACATACCTCTGCATTCAAAATAATAGTAATGAGCAAATCCCGGTGGACACTGGCATAATCTTTCCCCTTTGGCATTTGGAGCACATTCACCATTCGTACATCTACAAACTGAAAAATAAAATAGTAATTATATTAAGAATGTCTTGTACAAGTGAGGTTTCTGTTTAAATACTGACTCTTTTACATAATGCATCAAATACTTTATTCAGTTGCGTGTATATGCCGATTCTTCATTTTTAGCCATGAACAGAAAATTAAGCTGCAATCTTGTTTGAAGGACAAAGGATCTCCGGTAAGTGAACCTCTTTCAAACGTATGGATCTTCGTCAATTCTTTCATAATAATGCCTCCCCAAACAAGCACACAAGCTTCACTCTAGTCGTTCCTGATATTAGTGGGATAAAATCGTATCTCTCTCTCTCACCATAATATCAGTAAAGAGGATGTGACTCTACTGATAAGGCATCCAGTCTAGCTGTTCTCTACAACACAGAGACTGTGACGCCGATTAGCTATTGTCAATGGTATGCAGCATTAAGGATGGCGGATGAATAAACTATCTTCATAAAGGGATCTGGCTACAGTTAACCGGGACACCGGTTCTCTTGGTAGCCGTGTGCAACTAATTGAGCAATATTGCCCGCTGCCGTCTTTTCATTTGAAAGAATGTATATCGGTCATAAGTCACGCTTATTTTCTTCGGCCTATCGCCACCAACTTTTCTTACAGCTGCACGTTTGGAAGAAGTAGAAGCATGTGTCGTTTGGAAGTCATCTTAAAATCATAAGCTTATTTTTGGAAATAAGCTAGAGGTTTCAAACTTTTACAGATTCTTTTGTAATATTTTTGACGAAACTGGACATGGAATTAACATTGAAGTTAATTTTTAAAAGCTATTTAAAATAAGAACTAGATCCTTTTACATTAACCATGGAATTATAATTAAGACACAATAACACGCCTGAATTAGTATTTATTCAGAAGTCAAACAACAAAAATCAGCGTTAATTTTCAAAATGTTCACAGCAAATGAACATTTATGGTTTGGCAGCTGAGAATGGTGCTTCGCTAAAACTATCGAAACTAGTCCTGTGAAAATTTTGAAAATTAACGCTGATTTTTGTTGTTTGACTTCTGAATTAGCATGGAATTATAATTTTTTCTTCAAGTGGAATTTTACACAAATGGAAATTATGATATATTGTTTACCTGATTTACGTTTTACAAATTCAGCTTTTAACGGGGTTTAAGTTTTGAAATTAGATATTAATATATTTTGCAGTGTTTATTTGATAAATCTGTGCATGAAGTTTAAACAAATTTTCTGTTAATCTGCTTAGTATCGCTGTACAATTTTTTTCCTTAATATTAATTTCATTTAAAAAATTCATGTTTTAAAATTTGCTATTTTGCTACTAAAACTAATGCTTTTCTGTAATTAAAATAGAGATTTGAAAATTTTCTATATATTTATTAGTACATATTTATCCAACTCTGCACAGAAATTCCATTAACATTTGTTGTTAGTTTTAAAAATAATTAAATTAAAAATTATTTAAATTCTCGTCTTTCCGTTCATTGTGACAACAAAAATGTTTTATTAAATGTAATAAAATAAATTTAAATTTCCTTGACTAATTTTGCATAGCAATGAATTAATAAAATCTTCCTCAAGCAACGAATAAAATCTTCAGAAGAAAACTATTAATCCGTGCACAAGAAAATTTTAAAAATGATAATTTTCAAATATTTTAAAATTTCATTTAAACAAATAGTTTAGCTATATTTTATTAAAATTCTGTTTGTAATTTCTCGTTATAAGAGAACATAGCCAAAATTTTTATCAAAACTTCAAAATTTAAAGAGGAGTTGAAAGATTCATATACCTCCTTAATCAAGAAAATGAGTTAATCTAGAACATAAAATCCGGTGAATATATTTCCTTATATATTTAATATTTTTAAGCGTAACAAAACACATATTTTACATCTTATAACGAATAATGTTATCATGTGTTTTTAAGAAACGTCTGTCCATGAGACTCTGCGTATGACACCCTCGTCAGGGTTTTGTAAGACCTACAGACCTACCTTCCATTTGGATTCAATTTAATTCTTTTAAAAATAGTTGTAAAATTAGGTGATTAGGTTTTAGGGCATATTTAATTATAAGCAACATTTTACAGACGCCTGCCTAACATGTCTTCAAATTGAGAGTTGCAAAAAGTTCTTCATAGATAATAAGAAAAATTGGGATGTCTTTTAGGTTAGTTTTTGGGTTCGATTGGTAACTTTTAATAGCATGATGATAACCTCTGTTTAAAGCAACTTTTTTTTTATTTCTCGGTTTTGGAGGTTTCTAATTTTTCTGTTTCAATTCGTCTCTCGATCAAGAACCGAAGTTTTTAAAAGCAGTTACTATTAACAGTGATTTTTCATCTATAATTATTGATAAACCAGTTTAAAGCTTTCATCTTAATGTACAAAAACCATTTTTTTCGTTTTAAGAGGTTATAAAATTCTTGTAATTCTTCCTTTCTTTCCTTTCAATTTCTGTAGTCATTCCGCGGGTTCCTTCCTGCCATTCTCCTACAAAATTGCACGATTAAACGTAGACTGATCGAGTGACGCATAGTTGAATGCTATCATTTGAAGCGTACTACACTCAGTCTTGTGATGTACGCTGTGATTTGTATGTAACTCAATTAATTTGATTAATAACTTAATTAAACTTTCTGAAATTTTACCTGTAACACATTTGCATTATATTTAGCTTCTCATATAAATGAAGATGATGGTCAGTAGAGTTAGTATGATGCTTCAAAAGCATTACAATAATTGTGTGATTCCAAAGAAACATTTTGAATAATGTAGTACCAAATTAAAAATTATGTTTTGTGTTCTTAAGTTTTTAATTTGCTTACCAAAGATTTTTAAGATTGCTTTATGCAAATATTAGCAATTCATATTTTAAAATCTTAGATAAAATCTGGCTTTTCATACTGAAAATTCATTTTCCCTCGCTGATTCCTTTAAGGTTCCCTTTATAAGTTCAAAATATGAAACTATTTTAAGATTTTTAAAGTACGCTCTTCTTGCACATTTTTGTGTAATTTCCATGGGTTTCGAAAGAGTTATATTAAATTTTAAGAGTAATTCTTAAAACCAATGGCAGGTTTTATTTCTCCTCGATTGTTCCGTATTGAGAAATGCTATTTAGATAACCATCAAAGTTATGCATATCGCTATCCTGTAATTAACTGAGTTCGCAGGAGAAAAAATATGTGTCTGATGTACTTTTGTTAGGTATTTCCTGCCTCCTTTCAGAGTGCGTTTGTACTGTAAATAGAAGCAGGTTCGTGTAACAATTCTGTTCCCAGTGACTGCATTGCAGATTTTTCCTCTTTCCTGTTACGACAAGGCTCTACATGATGTCCACTCATTCTTTCCTTATAGATGCTAGTGTCATGTCTACCTAAGGAAAAATATTCGGTAGGCCACTGTATCACTTAATTTCCACAGATTAAGGACTATAAACAACTATTCACAATGCCAACTAAATAGGAAGAAATATTAGGCAAAAGTGCATTAATTACGATCATCTTACACTGAAACGAATAAATAACGACAGCGTGTAAAGATTTCTAAAAATAGTAAAATTTTAATATACTTCCAATTATGTTATTGGCATTTCAGAAGAAATGGTAAAAAAAATTCGACAAAAAATAATTCTAGACATCGCCCAATATAATAGTCTAAAAGAAGTCTGATTTTAGCTGCAGTACTGCAAACAACAAAAGAATTGATTTAAAAACTTTTTTTAAAAGATAGAGAATTACCCCAGTAAATTTACTGAAAAGTTCTTTTAGTTTTTATAAGTGGTTAAAAATAATGCAGGACTATATGTTTTTTAACAAATAATGTGATTTCCTAACATATACCGAAAAATGGCTTAAAATGAGACGTTAGTGCAAAAATGCATAAGAAAAGTAATATGTGTGAAAAGAACACATGTGTAGAAAATAAGGAAATCATAACTATACGCAAAATGGGTGAAGCTTCATCGGCTTGCCTTGTTATTTAATAATGTTCATATAAAAGCAGATGCAGGCTGCGCATAGAAACAGTCTGATGCAATTTTGAATGTGATAGCCAAATTGTAACCTGCGAGCAGAGAAATCTTTGTTGACGTCTAATATGTACTACTTAATAACAATGAGACCCCAATGTACTATTTGCGATGTATTTGTACATAACTGGAAGAATAATTGAATAATGATAAAAATTAGTCGGATGTTGACAGCTTGGCGAATGTCTCGCCAAATCTGCGGGATAGCCTTTTATTTAATGTTCAGTAGGCTTGCTCCTGTATGATTATTTTTTCGGCAGAGCCTTGTTTCTCTCAAAATTTTCATGTTACATTATACGCAAAATCAGATAAATTTCACATAAATTTTCGCTAAAACTTTCCATCTGTATGCATATTTCGTGAATATAATTACAAATTGCACAAGACGCTATTACATACGTCTGAACGAAACAATTACCAGCAAATCCTGTATATATATAAGCCGCTAAGGTTTGTGTCGCCGATAGTTTATTGTTGCCACTCGGAAAAATGAGCGCGGAAATTAACGTTTCCGCAGTTTTTAATTAATATCTCGGTTGATTAAAGTCGTACAAAGATGAGATCGGTATCGATGGATTCGGAGAATTTTTTGGAATCCGAGGATACGCGTCTTGAATTCCAATTCGGCGCCGTTCCGCAGATATTCGAGAAAAAAGAATTTGGCACGTAGCCAAATACCTCTAATAGGGAAAACCCAAGAAAGAAAGCGGAGAATGTAGGGAAAACGTAGGGGAAAATTAATTTTAATTAATATCTCGGCTAACTAAAGTCCCAAGAAGACGCGAATTGTCAAAATGACGTGTCACGGACCTGCGGAATCCAACGGTGTGCTTCGCTAAGCCTAGGAGGCCAGTCGTTTGGGAGAAGATGATGTTACTTCACCCCATATATATATATGCGGCTTAAGTGTCTATTTGTCACCAATAGTTTTTTGGTTCTTGCATAACTGTACTAACCAATGGGGTGAAGTTGCCACGGCACAGGGTTGCCTTTCAATTAAGACGTAGAAAATTTCCTTTAAAACTTGCCTTTGCTATGACCATCAACAAGCTCAGGGCTAAGCACTTAAGCGTGTTGGCATTTTTTTACCTGAGCCTGCATTTGGACACGGTCAACTTTATGTTGCCTGTTCGAGAGTTTGTGAAAGAACGGACGTAAAATTAAAAATAATGGATGGTCCTCTGCAAAGCGGGCTTAAAAATGATGGAAAGATCTACACAAGAAATGTTGTGTACAAAGAGATCTTTGAATTAACATTTCATTATTTAAATCACCTTTATTGATTGAGCTAGCGGTGGGCTATTAAGAAATGTACCGCCAGTGGTTTCCTTCATTGCACTCTACTTTAAGCAATTAAGCAAGTAGAAGGGGGAAACCCCGTGGGGCAGTAAGCAAAGGATGTCCTCGCTGCCTGCCCTGGGTAATTCAGTTTAAATTAGCAGACACCTTTCACAAATCATTTTAATTACAATTTATAATATCTATAACAGCTGTCATTTTGTATGACCGCCGGGCGTTCTAGTAATTCATAAGTTTTGTCTTTTGTTAATAGATTCGCTTGCTTTCTAATAGCAGTATAAATACAATTGTTTGAACTAGTAAGACCACTACACGCTGGTGGATTATCCCTGTAACTGGTAGTGGCTGATCTGTTAAGACCTCTGTATACTAATAGTTCAATCTGAGTGGTATTTTCGGGCATCGATGTGGGTGCACAGATTCTTTCAATGTCTGCTCTATGTCCAATGACAGCTACCGGTAGAAACGTCTGCGTAAATATAACTATTACCTTATCCATTTATCCTGTTGTACTTTATGAAAGAGCATATTTTTTTTACAGATTCGGTTCTACGAGATTAACGTCACTTTCCATTATGATTATGCCCTGTATCGTCAAGTATCGTCAAGTAACAATGCAGGTGTGTTTTTTTCAGGAAATTTTCATGATATCATCCTTTCTAAGAAAGAAATATTCGTTTCTTTATTCGTAACCAAATATTTTGTCAATTTTGTTTCCTTTCTTGGCATCTAGCAATTTTCTCTCTGATGCTTGCCTTCAAAATTACTATTAGATTTAACTCCAGCATTTTATGTGTATTGAATAATGTTGTTTATGTATTAGGTATGATCCTAACCAATCACAATTTTAAAATTCGTTAAAGCATTACTTCAAGCTTAGAAAATTTTAAATAGCGTATATGCAGATGAAAATATTTTTAGACTTTTTATATTTTCTACACAGGCATTAACTTTTAATGAATTTAGAGAATTAAGGAGACAACGCAGTACTCTTATTAAGCAAATAAAACTCGCTGAGTAAAGTGATTTTTCCACCTATGAAACTTTTAGAGTATATCTATTAGTTCTCAGAATGTAACATAACAGTTTAAAATAACAACCGAACATCTAAAAATTTTTTTTTTAAAAATCTACCTACCGGCGCATATAGTAGGAGAAAAATAGCATATCCAGGTGGACATTGACATATTGATTCCCCGTATGCATTTTGAACACATTCTCCATTCTTACATTCACAAACTGTAAAATAAAATAATATTTATATTAAAAAAATCTTGTATAGTTGAGTTTTCTGTTTAAATCTTGACTCTTTTACATCATGCATAAAATACTTCGTTAAGTTACGTGCAAATTCAGATTCTTCATTTTTAACCGTGAATAGATAATTAAGATATTTAAAATCTCATTTTAAAGGACATTGTTGAAGCGAAGCAAAATACAAGATGTTGGCAGTTTCCAAGTGTATCGTCTATTATTCGACCAGAAACACGAATCGAAAACTTATGGAAACTGCCAGCAGTGTCAGCAACACCATTCAGAGATTTCAATGTGACATAATTAAATCATTTTTTTAAAACTTTCTCTGTACGGTAAGTGTACAATTGCTTTGTACTTAATTTCATATATAACTGAATGGTATTGTAATTGGAATTGATTGTAACATTTCAAATGTATTTTCATAAATCAGTTGTAACTTTAAAGAAAATATTGAATAAATTACTATCAAATTGAAAAATTAAAATTATATTTTGTGCTCTAAAATTTTAAATCAACTTATCAAAGGCTTTTAATGATTTCTTTACATAAATATTAGGAATTCTTATTTTAAAAAATCACAGATGAAAACTGATTTATCTGGCTCTTCATATTGAAAATTCATTTTGTATCACCGATTCCTTATATCTTTTATTTGTAATTTGAAAATCTGAAATTATCTCAAGATATTACAAAAGACTTCCTTCCTCTCTAATTTGATGATATTATGAGTTTCGAATGACTTATCTGAAATGTTTCAACGTGTGTTTTAAATGCTCTTTAAAGGATTTTGCGAGCACGTAAGATGAGAAGGTAGGTCTTCTGAGAATAACAATCTTCATCAAGGAACATTACAGCGATAAATAAGTGCATGTGATAAGCAACAAATTTAAATTAAATTACAGCGTTAGTTGTTATTTACAGATCTATCAAAGAATCCTTTGCATTCTAGGAAATCATTTCGATATGATAATTCTACGGCCATCAGTATGGAGATTTACAGTGGTCCATGAATTGGGTTCTGTTGCAGCCATATAGAACAGAATTCAAACCAGTTGGACCAATAAAAAATTTTTCCTGTTCGTAAGGGTTCGAATGCTGCTGTTCCGGAGAATGCTGCACCCGTTACTTCCTGTTTTTAATGATGAGATAAGATGTTAACTCCCTCCTTTCTGCATGTCTTTGTGTTGTAACGGTAGCATACTTTGCGCGTATTTGAGAGGTCCAGGTTCGAGTCATGGTGAGGGCATAAAAAAACCCTAGTGACTCTCTAGGGGGGGAGTATAGGGAGTATTTTCTCCCTCCTTTCTGCATGCCTTCGTGTTTTAATAGTAGCAAACTTGGCGCGGATTTGAGAGGTCCAGGTTCAATTCCCGGCGATGGCATTGCTCATTTTGCACATTTTGCTACGTTAAAATAAACTAATGTCTCTACAGTGGTGCCAAAACTAGAAAGGTGGTGGATGATGATTCTTCACCACCAGGACTTGGCAATTGTGTCTACAAATCCCTTGTCTCCCTTTAAAAAGGAGGAGTATATAAGGTATTTTCTCCATCCTTCCTACATATCTTCGTGGTATAACCGTAGCACACTCGGCGGATATTCGAGAGTTCCAAGTTCGAGTCCCTGAGAGGACAATTTTCATTTTTAATTTTCCATGTCTTCTATTTCAAAAATCTTAATGACCCTATAATATATAGGCACTCTTGACAGTTGGTTTCTGGTAAAACCGATTTCCGGCGAATTTCATCATATTGTGATTTTGGGTACTACTTTGTGATATGTCTAAATCGTTCATAGCTGCAATTTGTTGATCTTCTGCTAATATTGTCGCCTTCTGCCAACCATTCTTAGAGATCTCTCATTCACTAGTATGTTTTTATTGTTTTCATAAACAGCCTCTCTGTAAACTTGCAAGATATTATTAGAAGAGAAAATCATAAGCCATTTGTGATTTCTGTGTACCGGAACTGCATTTTCTGGAGCCCACTATCACGCTTTTTAAACTTAAATCTTATCTTTCATTTTTTACGCATTTTCACACAGTGATACCCCTTTATTCTCAGATAATAGTTTAATATACTATCACCTGCTATTATTATTTAATAGAGGTCTCTATGTTTTTAAAATAATTCCATAATGGTCATGATCGAAGTACAAATTTCTGTTTTGAGCTCCTTGGAAGAAATACATAAAAAAGAGTAATATTTTCTCCTCTCAGAGTCTCTTTGTGTCAAATGCACAGCTTACATCTCAGCACGAACATGTCTATAGGCAGTTCTTCATTGTTACGTACACTGAAAGACTTTTCCTTCTAAAAGTAGGTGTGTCCTAATATTTAGTCATTCAATACATCTGAATAGAGAACAACTCTTTTAATTATTTCAAAATTTTGCAATAACTTTGAAACCTATTTCATTTTTCTGTTCCGTAAAATATTTTAGAATCATTAAAAATAATTATCACATATTTTAAATAAAAAAATAAATGAGGGTGGAAAAGGATGTTTTTGCCGGTAGTTTAAGCATAGAAAATTTCACATAATTCATAAGCTTATAATTAATTAAACATTTTGATGAACAACAGAAAGCGAAGCTTACCTACACAAAAACCTAGAGATCCTAGCCTGTAACCTTCTTTGCAAATGCATGTTTCATGCTTATCCTTATCAAAAGTGCAATTAGCTTCTCTCCCGCAGTTACATTCTGTAAGAAAAAAAAATTACCTGACTATTTATGTTACGTACTCTGAATATTTAGTCTCCATTAGTCCTTTACATATTTTTGCAATTTTATTTTAATTCAATTAATTGCACAATAAGCAATGTTACGTCATTTCCTGATTGTTTGTGATTATTTGCTTCAATCATTTTGCTTTTCAAAGACTATCCCTATAAAACTTGGTACTTGATGAGTTGTTAAATATTTATAAATAAGGAACATGAAAAAGTAAAAATAAAAATGATTAAAAACATTTCTTTCAAAAACATCATAATGAATTATAATAAAACCAAAAATTATCCTTTGTTGAGCAAAAGGGTCTATCGGCAGACAATTAGATAAGTTTGCTAAACACGTTTGAGCAAATGAAGGGAAGCATGGATTTCGCAGCTTTCTTTATGTGTATTATAAAAATGAGTTTTTTTTTTTTTTTTTTTTTTTTTTTTTTTTTATATATATAGATAGTTCTGGGCAATCATCCATTTTCTTAGAGGGGTATCCCTTCTTTTATCTCCTTTAAATTAATAAAAATCAAACAAACGACAACTGTTTATTATTTGAAAGACGCAGTTACTGTTAACTGAAGACATACGCTAAAGAAATGTTACATTCACACAACTGTCTAAAGAAACGAAAATTTTTATACTGCTAAATTTGTGTAGTGATTATCATGGCTTGCCCTAGATGTTCAGAATTAAACTTTGCTCAATGATCCTTGTTAATCGTCTTGAATAGTTATTTAATGAGGATGACATGATTCTTGTACTCACTTTTCCTAGTACCGTTTTTTCTTATTTTGTAACATAATGAAATTCTGTTACTAAAATTATCATATTATAAATTTTAGGCAATGCACTTACTACGTCTGCCTTGAGTTTTTCACAAATTTTGAAATCGTGATTTAATGCCAGCGTAACTATCTCTAGTTATTTTAATTTTTTAATATCAATATTATTCTATTTAGAATAATAAAACTCAGATCTTGAATTGGTGTCTCATAGCTCTCCAAGAAAAGCAAGTGTTGACGACTTTCCTGACATAGAAATTAAATATATGGTGGCCTGGTGGCTCTTAAAAAAAGTTTGTGCTCTTTAAAAAAAGTTTGTGTTTGTAACATGTAGCCTAAAAGTTGCATCTTGGGGATCACATATGACCTTTGTTCCATTATGAGAATAGTATTGAATTTATTTACATTTTAGTATCTCTTTAAGACACTGCAAGGTAAGGTTTACTTACATTATGGATGTATTTATGTTGAAGAAGATATCAAATAACAATAAATTAATTTTTTAATTACCTTTTATTGAGCCCATCAGTAGCCGAGCGTTAAAGAAGCTGAACACTGGTAATTCTGTCCGGGATTCGAATTCCTGAGAACGGGCTGCCTACATGATTATTTTCCTGGTTTTCCTCATACGTGACGTCTACACCAGCGGTTTTCCAGCGGAGCAAATAGTATCCAACAAACACAACTGTTATTCAACTGATCTTCACAGAAGCCAAATCTAGACGAAACAATTTCAGACAGAAAGAGATAACCTACATTTTCCCTAAAAGTGTTAACCCGAAGTTTTCACTTTTCCTTGTGAATATTGAATGTCGCTTGCGTATTTAGCCATTATATTCACCCAACTAAGGATTATTATGTCTAGTTCTAAATGTATGGGAGATAATGTGAGGAATGATTCTATGTAAAATGTCATATTACACATTTGCAGTGATTTCTCCTGATTAATCTGAACCATTTTTGTGTAGGGCAAATAATCGGGAGAAAGTTTGAAATCTCTATTTTGAGATACATGAGTTTCTGCATTTTTTCATCTACTGAATTATCTATTTAAGCACGAAAATTTTTCAATCAACTGGAATCTGATCTGTAAATTTTGCGAATTTACTTTGTAATTTAAGAAAAAACATGACCATTTTGAACACGTTACATTTTCCCCTTTCAACAGATTCGGCTGTATAATTTAGGCAATTATGCAATGCATATGCTTTATCTACTGAAAGTCCTTAAGAAGTTTGAGAGATATTCTTTTATCCTGCAGTTCATTTGCAGTGTTACAGTTCCGACAATATAATTGCTACTTATTACAAGCTAGTTAACTAACCCGCAACTACAGCTCTATTGACGCTACGTACCCTTAGTCTTGGAAATTTGTTAACTGTGAAACTGGTTATATATCTAACTAACAAGTAGTATAGGAGGAAACAACTGGTTGCAATCCATATTACATATGCAGCAGAATTTCTCCTATAAACTTTTCCACTTGTGTACCAGTGCGAAGACACATAGGCATTTGGTGACCGTTAAGCATATATATGCAGTAATATGCTTAATAGTATATAAATTTTGCAAATTTACTTAGCAATTGAAGAAAAAAGATAACTATTTTGAAGTGTTACATTTTCTCCTTTCAACAGATTTGACTGTATAATTTAGGCAATTATGCAATGCATATGCTTTATCTACTGAAAGTTCTTAAGAATTTATCAATCCATATTACATATGCAGCAGAATTTCTCCTATAAACTTTTCCACTTGTGTACCAGTGCGAAGACACATAGGCATTTGGTGACCGTTAAGCATATATATGCAGTAACATGCTTAATAATATATAAATTTTGCAATTTACTTAGCAATTTAAGAAAAAAGATAACTATTTTGAAGTGTTACATTTTCTCCTTTCAACAGATTTGACTGTATAATTTAGGCAATTATGCAATGCATATGCTTTATCTACTGAATGTTCTTAAGAATTTTGAGAGATATTCCTTTATCCCGCAGTTCATTTTCCAGTGTTACAGTTCCGACAATATAATTGCTACTTATTACAAGCTAGTTAACTAACCCGCAACTACAGCTCTATTGACGGTAGTCTTGGAAATTTGTTAACTGTGAAACTGGTTATATATCGAACTAACAAGTAGTATAGGAGAAAACAACTGGTTGCAATCCATATTACATATGCAGCAGAATTTTTCCTATAAACTTTTCCACTTGTGTACCAGTGCGAAGACACATAGGCATTTGGTGACCGTTAAGCATATATATGCAGTAATGAAGCAACATTAGCAACATCGTTAACAAACTGATTTTAAAATACTATTTATATAAAGAAAAGCAAATATATTTCACATACTTTTGCACATTGTTGGTGTATATAGACCGTATTCCGGTGGACACTGGCAAACCTTTCTCCCGGTTTCATCCAAAACACATTTCCCGTTAATGCACTCGCAATCTATACGGAAATACAAAATCAGTTATTAACTTCGTAATGCCATATTAATATCACTTACAAATTTTATAGTGAGAAAACATCAACTCTAGATTGAATAAGACGGCTTGCCTCAATAGTATTCAACGTTTTATACCTCACGTTCGTTCGAAATGTATATGTGCAAGTTTTGCACACCTTCCAGAAACATATATGTATATGTACACGTTCCAAATACAGATAAATTTCCAGTTGTAACTGATTTATGCACAAAATTATATACATATATGAAGATAAATATGATTTTTATGCATAAAGTTATAAGATTGAAATAAATGAAAATATATAAAGAATGCAAGAAGCCAAAACCTAATATGAATTATTTTACTTCTTCAATGGACAGTAATCGATGAGTATATTGAAATATACGATAAAGATATTGCAAGATAAAACTCCGATTTAATTTGTAATGGCCAATAAAGTCTCGTTTAATCTTATTATTCTCTCTTTCTATTCTAAAAGTATAAATTTGCTTAAAATAAATCTTTCTGAATATTTTATTTAAAAATTATTTCCTGTCATATAATTTTCATGCCACGCTCATGAAGAATGCAATATCCCTTTAGCCAACATTAATGATACATTTTGTAAGCGATAAATTTAATTAACGAACAGAAATAAATCGTGAGTATAACTTCTCTAATATCCATATTGTAATATGCACAAATTTATATGCTTCTCTGCTCTTCGAATTGATAGCCCGTCGCGTCGCTTCCCTTTCCTACTTCAAACATAATATTATAATGATCAGAAAACTATGAAAGTGATGAAACAGACAGCGGCCAATTGAACCATGTACCATTTCTAGAAAATAATTTTTCAGGAATAACGGAGCATTTACCTGTCCATAACTGCTGACATATATCGTATACGCTCGAGTAATGTCCGCGCTCATGTAATGTCCCCAACTCTACAGATTCGTACCCCAACGTTACAGATAAAATTTATGTACAAAAATGTGACCCGCACAATGTCCACACTACAAACGTTAAAGAATTTCTTCCTTTAAAATATATTTTTTAACATCGCTTTTTACCTTTCAGTCAATAACATTAGTCAATAAACATCTTCAAAGAAAGAATATGCATTTGTTTTGTATTTGGTTGGCTTCAGGATAGAAAGCAGAGACTTTCCTTGCATACTGATCCAACTCTTAATCATTCATAACATCGGAGGCAGCAATCCACTCGGCAGACGCGATAATAAATGAAGGCGGTACAAAAACACTTCTTCACAAACACTGGCTTCCAGGAAATACTGTTTTGTAATGAAATTACTTTTCGCTCCTTCCTGCTTGGAGCATTCACATATTACAGGCTTTCTCTTTATAATTCATTGTATCATTTGGGAATTCGTGCTAGGTAGCAAGTAGCGTACTTGAAATGGGAAAATACAGCGGCTTTTAGACTGAAAGTCTTAGAATTTACGCAGGAAAATGAAAAAAAAAAACAGCAGCAAGAGTATATAAGAAGGACGAAAAGTGTGTGCGCAATTGGAACAAACAGCGAGCAAACAATAAACGAACAAAACAAGAGTGGCGGCAACGGATAAAACAAGAGTGGCGGCAATGAATGAAACAAGACGTCCGTTTCTTAAAAAAAGGTAGTTGCGTATGTTCGTGATATGCGTACTCAAGAGTACGCAATAACACGGGAAATATTCTAAATAGAGCGCTTACTGCGGCACGATAAAGAATACATT